ACTTATTAAAGCCAAAGTAGTTGACAGTTTGTTACTATCAATAACATCTGGGACAGTAGGCTTGAGATCATCTACAATGAATCCTTCCGCCACCGAAGAAATTCAAGGCGTTAGAGAAATAGATCTTAAATCTTTCTTCAGATCCAGCCCTGGTTACTTTTTGGTCACGGATGAGACATTGGCCATTTTCCAAACAGGTGGGAGGCGCTGTTGACTATAAGACACATTTAGAATTTCCGTAATCGGAAAGGCTAGGATGTCAGCGAACTCCTTGAGTAGCCAGTTCAAGATTGTGTCCAGTCCAATAGCTTTAGTGGGGTTGACTTTCGGAAGTGTCCTTTGAATACTTTCTTCTGAGACTCGTAAGATCTCTAGAATATCCTCCTGAGGGAGATGTTCAAGCAATGCTGGCAACTTATATTCCTCTAGAGGTTCAAGGAAGGCAGAGTTGATGGAGCTAGCCTACTCCTCTTGGGAAAGGTCTGAAAAGTGATCCACATTAATTTGACTACACAAATCGCCATTCTTGGTCTTTGCTCCATTCGGATGCTTCAATTCGTCTCACCACCTTTTGGGATGTTCGTCCTTTAGGTGTTGTATCCTAGACTCATAATACATTCCTCTAAAAGGTTTTTCGACATGTAGGTGGTAGAGGCCTTTTGTTTTTTCTGAATCTAGTTCCAAAGTCTAGAGGTCATCCATAGTGCATTGGCTGAGCGCACGTGTACTTGTTTTGCAGGCATTAAAAAATCAATTCCAGTGAGGATAGCTTGCTGGAATACAGCCCACTTATTCTCGCCGCTCTCAGGCGAGGTGAACAACAAAGGTCAGTCAATAATGTTTAGGTATCTCCCCATCGCTGCCTTACAACTAGGCCGTTGATCACGCTTAGTATCTACTCTCTTGGTGTTGGTGTTAACTTTCTCAGCTTACTTCCGCCATTATATAACAATCCAAGGTATAATTTAAGAAACCATCGCCTTTACAATATACCACATGTCCGCACCAACAGGCCAAGGAACTCTTTTATACTTGCAATGGCCGCCAAGCAAATCGAATTTTACAGGTAAATTTTTATTAGTGGAACTTGTAACGATCATTGTAGGTTATTTTCCAAATCATATATCATAGCTATAAGAAGTGTATTAAGGTTTTATTATAATGGCTATCATTACTAGATCTCTTTTTAACATAGTTAGCATCTATATTATACGCGTGGCGTTATTGTAACTTTCATAAATCTTAGTATGTAAACAATTGCGTAATTCAGCTTATGGGCTGCAATGCGACTTTAATGAACACCTACCTACCTACCAGACGTCGGAGAAGCTATCACGGTTTTGTGGTATGAGAGACCAAACGGTGGGAAGGCCAGTGTTGAAGC